AATATTGATTTACAATCAATTGGAAAAATTCTAAATCTGATATGCAACATCACATTAGAACACAACAGTTTCAGGAATTATTAACACAAATGTACACAATACAACGACAATCAATCGACCAGAATTTAAGAAAACTTGCCAAAACCGCAGGATTTGCAGACATTTATGCACAAGACTATAGCGGATATTTTTAAGATATCAAAGATTACATATAATTAAACGGTGAAAAAAATAGACCACAAGATATTTCACCTACAAACATTTTCAGTTTTGTCACCTTAAAAAATGAAATTTTCGCTTTTCTATGATGGCCCTATTACATCTTAGAAAAATTAACTATCTTATACGCTATGTTTAATTTTATAGGATTTATTTTCTCACCGTTAAAAGGAATCTATAACACATGCGCTATACACACACAAGTAAACCGACAAGCAAGTGTAGCACGTATAATATTTGCAGGATTTTTTGGAATTTTTTCATCATCAATTGACAAAATACTTTTAGATGCACAAATAAAAGAATATAACACAAAAATATCCACAAGACAAAACACATACGACGAAGAACATAATAATATAGAAATAACACATACTGCACCACAGATGCCACCCTTATCACAAAACCATCCATTATCACTAGTTCCTCGTAATTTCCGAAACCTAGCAATCACAAATAATCCAAATTCTAGACCAAATACAACACAAAGTCCCATCCAACACATAATGACACATCATTCAAAAAATGATAATACATATGAACAAATTATCGAACAACCTCACACCGCCACTTTTCAATCTCAAAATAATCATTTTTTTTAGCCCACGATGAGCCGACAACTTGGATCTCTCCATCGCTCAAATTCCCACCCAGCCAACCTCCAAACTCAAATCCCAATAATCCCAGCTTTTGCTTTCCCACCACCCAATTTTCCAATTATTAATATACCATCAAGCACGAATTCTGATACTAACTCAGATATTTCAGTTTTTCATACTATCTCACAACTTAATAACTCAAATGTAGAAACCCCCGACGAATTTGCAGACTCCGAACCATCTCCTTCTACCCATACTCAGACCAACTCCTCAGTTTTTTCAAAACCCCCATTTTCAACCCATCCCGTCCAGTCATCCACTCCCATCCGTTTCCACTCCTTCTTATGCTTCCCAAGTAACCCCAACCTATTCTCCACTTCATTCCGACAGATCATATAATAATTCCCCAGATACCCTCCAAGCTTCCGAAGAACTTGATAATTTTATTACTTTACAACAACAATTAATACACCCCAACAACCTTACAATACATCAAATATCATCCACAATAACATCCTCAAATCCACCTACCCCCACACCCTCCTCAGCTTACACTCCATCATCTCAATCATCCACATCCACCGAAACACTTACCAGTACAACCGAGCTTATCGCACTTTTAAACGAATATTTCCAAATCACCCATTCCCAACCAAACCCGGAACGGCCCGCGAATATATCAATCACCCGGAACACACAAACACGAAAATTTTCTTGAAATCACCTTACCCTCATTTCCGCAATATACATTAAAAACACCTACCATTGCTAACGAAACACGCATTTTTGTTGATGAGTACTTTTTAATGCCAACACTTCATTGGACAGTTTATTATAATTATATTAACCCCCTTTGCCTACCATTAGCTAATACTACTAAAAGTATCGAGAAAAACTAAAACATAATATATAGACTCACCACATCATTAACACCTCGACAATTTACTTACGTTGGATATAAAAAATTATTAAAAACATTCACTGCACCCCGAGCTAACGATTTTTCAATAGAATACTACGATCATAATATCATCCGCCCTAACCAAGATCAATTTTTAGATGAAGATTGCTTCGCAAACACGCAACTAAAAGAAAAATTTTTCATTAAAACATCATACCTATTTGCACTTAATATTTTTGATAGAAAGCATGATCATATTATTTCAGAAGCACTAGTTGATTTTCAAGCATATGAAAGCTTCTATGATAAATTTCAGTTATCTTCACTTACTTTTCAGTTTCTTTCACCACAGGAACGCAATTTGCACTGTTCCCACAATTTTATGTTACGCACTAAACAAACGCACACATATACATATTATCGTTTTAGACAAAATCATTTTGATTTACACACTCCATCAAGACAACCTCACCATCGTTTTCAGTTTCTCAACTCAAAATACACGTCACCATTTTTTCTTAATTTTACATATTGCATTAAAGATACTAACCTCCACGGCATCCTCCGCAACTATGACCCAGTTACCCAAATGTATATATTCTGTCCCATCACAAAGACCTTCAATGATGAAGAATCAAGACCCTTCCTTATCCCGCATGAATTTATCCAACCTATTGAAATACCCATATAAGAATTCATTCACAATACTAAATATAATCATAAAATCTATAACCTCATCCAAAACACACCTTACGAGTTCGCAGTAGGCACAGAAGAACTAAACACCATCAAGGCACTTCAATTGCTTTGGCCACTGCTACAAACTAAAAATGTCATACGCATACTAGCCAAGTTACTAACAACATCAGATATTATTCGCGACATCTTCCCCCATGGCTTTTTTTCCAGAAGACTAAGGTAAATATGAATTAAAATACTTTAACTAATAAATCCAAATTTGTACTAACCATTTTCTATCAATGTTTAATTTATTCTTTTAGTCTTAACATCACAATCATCTACAAAACAGAATAAGACAAATAAAATTACAAATTTATTAAATTATCTTCAAACTCATTAATTTCTTGCACTAAATAACTTAGTAAAAATCATAACAAATGCAGTAATTTTATTTATAAATTATTTCCCCATGAAGCAGTAAAAATGAAGTCAGAGAAAAATTGATAATTTCAAACTTCCCCAAAAAAGCAGTAAAATTCAAATTCTATGCAATAAATTAATAAAATGAGAAAGCAGTACTAACCTTTTCAATATTTTCATTCATTCGCACAAGAATTCTATCCAAACTCGCACAGCTCGCCCACGAAGAATTGTTTAAATAATGATTTTAATTTTCAAGCTTTCACCATCAACACTCTCTAACACGCGATAACAAGTTTCAAACTTTCTTTTAACCCGGTTGGAAAGGAATTATACACTAAACCAAACTAACCAACGCAGCTTACTCAACACCACAAATCATAAAACAACAGCATGACTAAAAAAACAAAACCAACGGTACCCAAACCGGATTAACCCAGTTTAAAACTGGATAATTTATTCTTTTTAAGACTATTATAAACTCTAAGAAGAAATAATAAGACACAAAAAAGCCGCAAGACAAACCCAAACCAAAAACAATTTGATTTTTGAAAAAAGGACACAACCAAAGTAACATAAGAAAAACCCAAAAAAACCTACATAAAACGTTATCACATAACAAGACCTCTCAAAGAAACAGCATGCAATCATACTCCCACTCCTGGCCTAACCCACCAGAGAAGGACGTCCTGAGCATGCTTATAGCCTGCTTAACCCACGCTGTGTGACCGCACTTCAGTGTTTAATAAGAGGTACTCAAGGGTGAGTAACTATTCAAAATAACTGAACTAAAACAAAACGCTTTGTGAAAACGACTAACTAAGTTCATGATTAAAAAACCAAATTAGCAAAAATTTATAAAATGTAAATCATACTTTGCAGTATATAGATCATACACAATAACAAAGACGAACATCCAAAGACGAGACGATCCCATCACACTCAAACAAAAGAATGGCTGAACACAACCGACATGCCGTCCACAATCACGACTCAAAGGATTTAAAGTACGACTTGACCTCGCAGAAAAGGACTTCAATGAACTAGACCAATGACCACCTCGATGTTCAAGTATACGTACAGATCCCAGTTACAAGGCATCCCTTCCAAACACGATTTTCACGCCATTCCCAGACGAGGCTGCACATCAAACAGTTTTCTACTAATACAGAAAAACCTGACATAGCAGACCATTTTGAAATCGGATTGATTTCATTGGGGATCACCGTCGTTGTCGAGTGACAAAGTAACAATTTCCTATCCCTGATTCCAGCGTCCTGGAACGTTCTTCTTCAAGAGGAACCGGATAAGAAAATCATGTTCGCCAAATACCAACGTTCATCATCCATCCTTCAATTGCAGAAAAGAAAGATAGTTCTAAAAAAACTCTGTAAACCCCGGATGGGTGTAACCTGATCTAAACTACATTTTATTATTGGATAAATTAGATATTTTACCACTGTAAAAAATTTAATATTAACCAATCATAATCCATCCAACTAACAACCCCCTTATTTGAATTTAACAAAGAAATTAGTTACCTCTCCAAGAGAACTTTAGCAGTCGCAATAAGCCAGTATACTCTAGATCTATTGAGCCTAGCAGAGACTAGTTAACACCCTGAGACTAGTAGATATAAGAGTAAGATTAGGATCGGTATTAGACTAAGAAGTTGCACGAATCTATCCGGCCGAAAATAAGATAGCGTGACGATCAGACGGTGTACCCTATCCGAAATTACTCTATGAGTTAACCTCAAGGACCTAACTCAAAAGGAAGACAAACACCATTATCGAACAGCAAATGTGTAAAGGTCACGAAAAGATGATCGGCTTCTATTTTCGATAATGAAATTTAAGTTTCAGATTTCCAAGCAAAATAATAATTTACCTATTGATCCAGTTTTCTCAAATCGAGTTCAATTTATCAAGTTGTCTGGTTACGTTTATAGGGTTGCCGTAGTTCTACAACAATGAAAAATTCAAAACCGCCTTCTAGCCTGTTAAAACCCCCTATACATGCCACGGCGTCACACAAAGTCTTAAGCTATGGTACTTTTTTCTCTCTCTTTTTCTTATGTTGCTTTTTTAAGAAGCTGTTGATTTAAATTTTATTGACTTTAAACGTACAATACTTTTAATTGAATCTAGTTTTGATCAGCCAAAGTATGCAATGTTTTATAAACACAAGGTATTCTTTTTCTTATTCAGTTTGTGTCTTGTTTTGAATAATTCAAAGTTTGCTTAAAAATTCAAAGTTGCTTCAATGTTTCAAAGTTTGGTCTGCTTCAAAATTTGTTTAAATTTCCGAAAGAAAATTTATTGAACAATTATTGGAAAATAACCTGATGGTATTTCCACATAACTATTCACAGGTGTCATATAATAACTGAATGAAACCCTAACTGAAAGACCTGAGATCGTCAAAAATTTCAAGTTACTTTTTTTACAACTTCGCTGCTCAGATTTGTTTTTGATTATGAGCAAAACACGGTTTTTATTGCTGTTTCTAACTATAAATTTCAGCGTTATCCTTTATTTGGGATCTGGGTCAAACTTTTTTTTATTTATTATCAAACCGGCTGCAGATAAAGGAAATGTTGATTCAAATTATTTTACTGACGATGTAGTTAAATCTGCTCTCCAAAAGTGGCAAAAAACTAACAAAAACGTTTGTGATCTTTGTTTTGCAATAATTGATAGCCAAACAGACACGCTTGCAGCTGCCAAATTATTTGTACAAGATACTCCACATAGATTTAATTTCAATTTTCAAAATGACAGTTTTGAAAATAACAGTTTTTGCGATAATTATCTCGAAAATGAGGCAAGTGTACCTTTGATTTCACAATCAAAGCTCAAACCTGAGGAGGATTTCCCGTTGGCGTTTGGTCTTATGGTTTATCATAACTTTGAACAAATAGAACAGTTGCTTCGAGTTATATATCGGCCTCAAAACTATTACTGTTTCCATGTCGATAAATCGTCGGATGATGCTTTTAAAGAACAGGTAATTTTTTGATAAAAACAACAAAACATTTGTTACAAATAATTCGACCATCTTCAGTCATTTTCAGCTTCCCGCAGAATCGATCTAGGATTGTAACCAGAGGGATTTCAAAAAGTATCGAGTCATTATCGGTCGACAAAGCTTTCTTTTTTAAGGTAGAAAAAATTGATTCACTTAATTCTGCTAAAACTAAAACGCTAAAAAATCTAATTGTCACAGTTTTCTGCGCTGCAGGCCAATTTTTGATAGAAAATGTCACAAACTGTTTATTGACGCATAGTCCCATCAAGCTTAGGCACCTTCGAAAAGTGACCATAAAAACTCCGCGCGCTCGATACAAATGAAATCGAAGGATTCCTAGCAACTACTGAGCACTTGAAATTATTTTCAGGCAGTTATCGTCATAAAAATTGGTTAGATTCAAAAAATTTAAATTTGGATAGGATGTAAGTGTAGGCTAACTTGATAAGAAATATCTGTTCCACTAAGTGGTCGGATCAATTTCTATCGTTTTATTCAAACTTATTTATTGGAACATTAGTCCGCTCGCATATACACTTGTGATGGAGCGGATTTCAACTACTGGAGTCCCAAAGATAATCAATAACAAAAATGTATTCAAAAATTCTAAAGTGTCTAAAAGTTTTTGCTGAAACTAATGAAACTAATGATCTTGTGACTCTATAAAATGTTCAACTGACTAAACTCAGCTCAAAAATTAGAGCAGAAGCAAAAAACACGTGGAATTCGAGATTAGTTCAAAAAATATTGAACCGTTATTTGTTGACAAGACTCAGTTTTGCTTAGGCACACAAAATTGTTTTCCTTAATTCTCTTAGAATCAAAAACAAAATAAAACTAAATTGTCCCAGTTTTATGCGTTGCACGCCAATCTTATTGAACGCCAATCTGCGTTATACATGCCAAATTTTTATTGGTAGATCATGCCAAAATCTGGTAGAATAAGCTGCACCTCATAGTTACCCTCGATTTTAGGTTCTTTGTAAAGTTTTGAAAGGAACCTTAGGAAATCCGCTCGATCGATACAATTGAGATCTAAAGTTTCTTAGAACTACTGGAGTTTGAAACTATCATAACCAAAACATATCAGTTATTAAAATTTCATCAAAAAATTTTTCTTTACGAAATTTAGTTAAAAAAAGTGGGGTTGCGTTAGAAATTGATTTCAGGCAAAAATCATCATGAAACTAGTTATTTTTAAGCAAATAATTTATAGATATGATATAATTTAAAGCTAACTTGATAAAAAAAATTTCTTTCATAAGTTGTTCCGATTGAAGCTTCAAGGTTCAAGGTTTTCAAATATTGGAGGTTTTCAAGAAGTATATGGCAAACAAAAAATCAAATATTGCTAACCAAGTAATTGAAAAAATTGATATGCAAACAGCAACTTCAAAAAATTGCTTGAAAACAAAGTTTTCCGCTTAATTTGACCTTGCTGGGATTATTTTTTGCTACCGCTTCATTCTATTATGAGCTACTGTTATTGTTCGACAACAACCTAATAAAATGCACAAAAAAGAATAGTTTTCACTAAATTTTTCTATATAATCTGATAATATACTGAAAACAACAAAAATTCAGAAAAAAAAGCCAACGTATTTTTTGCTGTTCCGATTATGTAAAAACTTAAGGGAAATTTTGATTTGAATGTTCCTTTGTTACAGCTAATTCTACTTATATACAGATAAAAATGTCGGTTAAAAGTGAATTATTCTCGAAGTTAAAACATTAAAAAGTGAAAGACCATTCTCTATGCCGGAGAGAATGAACGTATCAACGTCATAACTAAGTACCAGTTATAATGACTAACAAATAATATAAAAAATATGAATAAGATAATGCAAATCACATCATTCCCCTTAAAAGGAAAAAAATAAACTAAATTAAAGGCAACTGGCCATTTTCTCCCCCAAAGGAAAATGACGAAGTTTTAATAATACCGCCAAATACTACAGTAAAAAGTTTTACTCCGTAGGATCATCTGTTTGGAATAAAGGCAGTTAAACTAAGCCATAAAAAGCTTAATAAGCTTAAATCGGCGTGATAGGTATGATGAATCCGACGGAATACGCTCCAAAAAATACGCTGACTAGTTAAAGATAATTAATCCTAACTGCACTTGGTTTTGTTACTGTCTTTGAGTGATTTAAAACTTAAAGCACAATGAGAGTAACACTGAGTACTAGAATGAACAAAATTCGAATTTTAAAAGTTTTCAGTTTTGAAAATTGTCGTCTTCGATGAATTTTTCTAATTCGGCATCAAAGAGTTCGCTATCGAAATCTACGAACTCGTCAAAATTTTTAACAGCCTCTCTTAATGACTGGTCGGTGGAAGATTTTGAAAATGTGTCCGATGATGGTGTCTGATGCACTTGCTGTGATTTCCGCCGATTGAACACTGAAGGTTGGAGTTTTCTTATCCGAAGGAGTTTGTGTAGAGGAAGTTGTGGTATAGCCAGTTTGATCCTTACCGTCGAGTGAGATTGGAATTATTGCTGACCCAGGTTGTCTCTGTCGTCTATAATATCTATGTCAACCTTTTACCATAGATTTGAGGAGGTCCTACGTTACGGCTCGAACGTCTTAGTTTAAATTCATTACCAGTGGTAGTGATTTCTTCCGAACGTGGTCGCTGGGTAGTAGCATTGTCATCTGATGAATCAACAATCTCATAGTTCGGGAAGTCGACAAATTTGTCCCCCTCATTTTCATCCAAGGCTCCGTTGGAGCATTTGAGGGTTAATTCTGAAGGGGAGTGAGTAGTTTGTTGAGGTTGTGTTGAGCTCTGTCGTGCAGGGATTATACTGATCGGGCAATCCAACGGATCCGAAAATGAAGTCAGGTTATCTAAAATCTCAGATTTTATGTTATCCTGGGTTGCTTGGGGGTCTAGAGAGGGTATAGAAGGTTCAAATTGGCTACAATTATCCTAAATAATGCGTTCTCTAATCATGTCTCTGCAAAGGATACCGCCCGCGATCCATTCCCAATCGCTAATGTCTGAACTATCCGACGGAATTATCATAGATTCGTCACCTGCTAGGTAGCCCGCGTATGATGCAGTGTCTTTTTTTCGTGTTGGTCTGCTCCTGAATGGTTTGGAGGATGGGTTTGACACTCTCGTCCTAGTGTTGTTGTCGGAAGTGGCCGATTTTGTCAGCTGGCTTGTCTTCGGGCCTGTTTTTCTTGTCGGCAGAAGTTTTGGTATGGTCGTCTTCCTGAGCATACTTCAAAATCAAACTTGGGAAATGATGGCAAAGAGATATTACCTCTAAAGTCAGATTTTCTGATTTTCTGATAATTTTTCCGTCGGATAATTCTACCGTGGTTTTTGTTGCGCTTATAACTCTCTGGTTAAGTTGTTTGTAGAAAGGGTATCCATTTATGCTTCCTTTGGTTTTCCGTAGTGTTTTGAGATAGCGTGTAGTAGAGTAGGATTTTGGTGGTCGAGTACCATTGCTAATAAAGCAATTTTTACAGTATGAACAAATTTTTTTCACAAGACCGTTAGAGCAAAATAATTTAATATTATTGGTATCGCAAAATAATTTAAAATCCTGTCTAGTAAAACAGGAAGCGTGGTCAACTGGAATGCCATGAAGGTAAAAATAATCCCGGAGAAATTCAATTACTGTGTTTGAAGAGGTTGACGATGTTATTTTAGCCGATGGAATTTTCGAAAATCGCTTGATGCATAGTAGAAGGTATTTAATTTTTCCCCAAGTGAAATCCAATAGACCGGCAATATCGAGATTTAATTCCTCGTAAGGTTCGGATAATGTTGGCAGTTTGCTGATTTGAGTCTTAGGTATAATGCTTTTTATATTCTTACCGGTTTGAGTGCACTGGGAACAATTTATCCCGTGGAAAAAAATCTGGCGAGTTATGTGTGGTCACCATAAGTACTGTGCTAGGTACTTCATACCAAAATGTCCAGGATGGGATTAGTAAAAAGTTTTCAATAGCGCGTTTCGTAGAGTAAAGAGGATAACAAGTTTTCCATCCATGTAGAGCAGTCCGTCGGATTCATGCAGATCTTTTGTAAATTGGTTTAGGTAATAAGAGTTGGCGTTAATCTTTTCTATTTTATTTTGAAAGACTTTAACGATCGGACTTAACACCGGGTCTTCTTCAATTTAGGTCCAAAGGTCGTTCCGACAACTTCAAATTCTCACGGTAATTTGTCACTAAATTTTCGCGTTTGGATAAAATTGGAAGTTCGACTTTGACCTGAATACCGGAAGTAGAAGGAATAATTACAATTTGGTTATTCAACATATTTACACTATTTACAATTTTAAGATCCTGAGAAATAAAAATTAAGCTACAATTAAGAATTAAAAAATAAAGAAAAGCTGAATTTGAATAAGAAATTTTTGTTCAATCAATGATCGAGAAATCCGAAGGAATACATTTGGAATTACAAAGTTTAGTTCTGTAGTGTTTTAGATTCCAAATTGGAACATTTGAGTTGATGAGTTTGAGAAGTGAAGTTATCACATGATTACGTAAATTTGTGTGATTGGAATTTCCCATGTTTGAACCAATAGCACTTCATATCGATTTTCCGTTATCCGAAGGATTCAAAGCCTTATAGTTTTTCTGGATAGTAGCAACTACAAAGTCTTCGCCTTAATGAGATAGGGAAATTGCTTTTTCTGAAGGGGATCTTGAAGTTAGATCTGTAAAACCCATGTCATTCCCTGCTAATTGTTTTATTTGTTGTGTAAACGGTAAAAAACGATCGACCCATCTTGTTAAACGACTATTATAAGTTTTATTTCCTTGATTTGGTGAGAGTGCTGAACGGAAGGCTTTATGGTTGGTATTATTTTCAAATTCTGAGCCGTAAAGATACTTTTTATAATGTTCTACCGCCCAAACAACTCCCCGCAATTCCATTTCATTTGTGGAATATTTCGATTCATGTGGATTTAAAAATCTTGAGGCGAAAGTGACTGTTTTCCAGTCATTCCCATGGAGCTGTATGAGCGAGGCACCAATTCCATTATGAGAGGGGTCAGTTTTCACTCTCGTATTACGTTAGACGTCAAAGTGTGTGTTTTCGGTAAGGCTGACTATTTCTAAATTGATTCTCTCGAATGCCTTTGTGTGATCTTCGTTCCATGGAAAAAATAATTTCTTATTTAGTAGAGGTCTTCAGGGACTTCCGAGGGATGCTAAGTTTGGCTTGTTGACCCGAAGAAGGATCCTAATTTCTTTAAGTTTTTTGGAATTGGGATATTTTTGAGAGCCTTGGTTTTGTCAATTAAAGGACGATCCCTGATTTAGATATTTTAAAGCCAAGCCATTGTGTTTCATTTTGAAAGAATTTACATTTTGGCCATTTGAATGCGAAATTGTAATTATCTATATACGGTAAAATTTTATGAACAATGTTCTTGTGTTCAGTAAAACTTCCTTCGGAAGCAACTAAAATATCGTCAAAGTAACAATTTGTGAAAGAAATTTTCCTGATTGTTGAGTCCAAGACTCTTTGAAATTCATTCGGTATAATGCCGAGTCCAGAAAAACTAGCTAGAAATTGGTAAGTGCCAGTTGTGTCTCCGCCTACCCAGCTTAAATTGCATTGACTGCTGGTAAACTTATCTGAAGAAAGTTGGCTGTATGTGCTCTTTAAGTCCAAATTGGTAAACCAAACTTCTCCGTCATATTCGTTTGAAATCCGAGAGTAAGTTTTTTTGTAATTGAGTTTTGAATCTAGAGCTGATTTGATCGATTTATCCGATTTTGCGGGTGTTAACTATTGGACTAATAAACCTATCCTTGTCGCAACTTTCCAATTTTTTGATGTCTTTCAGATTTAATTCTTTACTAGTTCTGTCTTTACTGAATCAACTAAATGGAGGGGAACACGTCTGCTTTTTAGTTGTATTGATTCCAAATGTTCGTGGAAATGTGTTATTTTTATTTGGTTTTTATTTTTTCCAATCCGAAGGAATAATTGTTTAAAAGTCTTGGATATAATATCTGTTTCTTTCTCTTTGTTGGGTGAAGAAATTAGATTAATGGATATACATGTTCTCTTATAAAGTAGTGTGGGAAGTGCTTCTGAGAAACTTCAATTCCCACTTTGGGTAACAAAAATCGTTTCCAATGAGATTCGTGTCGAGACCTTCTGTCAGAAAAAAGTATCATTCTCCATAAGACAATGCGTTCGAAAATATAGGTAAAATTAACTTTCCAGTGATGTTAATCGCGTTGTCTGTGAACCCACAGTAAAGCTCCGACTGATCCACCGGAAAAGTTTTTAAGTGGTGGCCTCGTAGCTTCAATTCGTGAAGGACATTCCGTTCGAGGAAGCTCACTGCGCTGTTAGTAATTTCTTTAATTCTTTTCTTTGGTTATCGTAATTAGTGGTCATTTATAGTACAGAGTAATCATCGTTATCGCTCTGTCTGGATTCTGACTATGCATTGATTACTCCACAACGTTCTCTATTTACATGGTCGTTATTTACATCCGGTTGTTCCGAGTTATAATTACAATCTGTATTATGTACAGTTTGACTATCTACTATAATTACATTTTTACGACCTCATTTACATAGCCTGATGAAATGTTCGCGGTTTTTACAGGATGTACAATTTGTGTCCTTAGCAGGGCCCACTGCCAGGTGTCCTTTTGAAAAAGTTCCGCCGCCTTTCATACAAAATATTACATTTCTTTGCCATTTCTGCGAGGGCTCCCCAGAATTGCTCCAACGATTCTCTATCTCTCTGTTTTCTGTTCAAAAGCTTGTGTCTGTCGAACGTCAGAACTCGGAAATTTAGAGGATTTTGACAATTTTTTTCTTTCGTTTCCGAGGGCTAAAAAAAGATTGGTCGGAGTTTTTCGTCAGCTTCTTCAAATCTCATGCCATTGAATCTTTTTGTTTCCGTCTTTTTCGAAGCTGTCTCTTCATCTTCATGTCTCTTTTGTTCACGGTTATTTTTTTCCAGACGGGTCAGTTTTTGGGTTTCCGTTTCGCCCTCAGGTGGATTTTCCAAAAGTGGCGGGTGTGTGTGGTATCGCTCCATCGGGCTTAGAAGGTTGTCTATGTCGATGTTTTCTTTGCGATTACTGCCATTTGGAACAGATCGCTCCACTCCTCCCAAGGAATTGGTGGGTCCACCGTATGGTTTTGCCAAAATGAAGGTATACCTCTCACGTTTGATTCGTTACTGTTTGAATGCGCCATGATGAAGTGTTCCTTTGTTACCGCTAATTCTACTTACGTACAGATAAAAATGTCGGTTAAAAAAGAATTAATCTCGAAGTTATAACATTAAAAAGTGAAATTGCATTCTCTCCGCCGGAGAAAATGAACGCATCAAGGTTATAACTAAGTACCAGTTAACAAATAATAATCAAATATGAAGAAGATAATGCAATTCAAATGAAATTTCAAATTTGGTTTTGCCGTTATGACAAAACCTTCTCATTAAGCAAGAACTTATCCAAATTTTTTGGTTCAAAAAAAACTCCTACACCTGTGATTTGTTTTCTTGAAGTCGTGGGATTTTCAAATTGGGACTAATTTGGCCAATTTAGCATAAATAAAGCGCGTCAAGTTTTGCAGAAGCGCATAAAATGCCCGCCGAAAAAATCCAGCCTCGAATGTATTTTTTATTTAAGCTGAAGCACGCTTATTTAGACAAGCATTGTTCAAAATCAATTTGTTGGATGTGCCGGTTGAAATTTTCCAATTTTTTAAATTTTTTTTTCTCCAAGTTTTGTCGTAACTTGGAAATTGAAATAAATTCAAATGCCCTGAATGACACCTAGAACATTCAGAGCCTGACGTTGATAAAAGCAACTTTGCTTAGTTTTTTCTTTTTACAGCTTAAGCGTCCACATTAAATGTTTTACCAAATTGAAATTAGAGTCTTAAATGGAGGATTTTTAGGCGATTGCAAAGTTGTTTGAAAATTGAGTTGTTGTTTCATGCATTTTCTGAATACTGGGCATTTTATACAGGTTGTGTGCAGATTTTCTTGACTTGTTCAGCCCCTACATAACATGAATAAATTGGTAATGAAATTGGTAAATTATGCTTTTCAGTTAAATTTTTTATGCCGACGTTTGACCTTAAGAGACAAAAATGAATACTAAATGCGAAAAATCTAAAGCAAAATTTATGGTTCCTAATTGTGTTTTATTGTACTTTTGCGGATTCGTTTTAGCAAATAGTGCTTAAATGTTGATCTAAGAAGTTGTTCAAAACTTTTTTCATTATCGCTGGAACTATTAGAACACAAATTTTTATGGATTTTTTGCTGTCACTGATGATTTGCGCTACCTACTTTTCCTCAAGTGGCTGTAGGTCCTTGTAACACTGACGGAGACTTTTCTTGAGAACTAAAATTAGCGCAAAAATTGGAGCAGAAAAAGTAAATTAGTTACACTGAAAATTGCTTATGGCTACCAAATTGACCTTCTGACAACTCCAGAAGAAAAAAATGATTTTAAATTGAATTCGGTGAGATTTGGGTAGATCAAATGAATGGCCATAGTCCGTTTTGGTTCAATCGGCCAAAATCCATATTGAGCTAATTACAGCTAAATCCAAACTAGTTTAATCGCTTTTCATGCACAAACATCTAATTTAGTTTTTCCAGGCATATCAATTTATGAAGTAGACAAGCGGCAGCTACATATTGCATGGAGAAAATTTTGAAAAAATCGAGACACGCAAGAGCGAGATGTGAATAAAGTTCGAGATGCAATATAGGCTGTTGCTGATCTTCCATTTGAAAAGCAAAAAAACCCACACTTGAAAAAAAAATCACGCTGAAATGTGATTTTTTACTTTCGAATTAGTTGTGGATGATTGTTCTGGGAAAGTTATTGCACTAGTGTTTCCATTTTGTATTTGATAAGCTAGTGCATTATTTGAAACACGAGTGTAATGCTTTAAAATTGCACTAGTGTTTCAAATATTGCACTAATGTTTCAGATATTGCACTACTGATTCAAGTATTGCACTAGTTTTTCGAATTTGGCTCAGAAAAGTATTGAAAGCGTGTGTTTCATAAAGTTTTAAATCCGTTTTTGTTTCATATGCACTTAGAACTGGCTTGAACCGTTTGCAAGTTATCTTAAAATGGACTTGAATTCACTTAAGGGCATTTTTGTCTGTGCGGTTTCACATAATTGGTGCTGGCCTAAAAGTATTAGAATAGTACTTAATATGTCCATTTGTCAAAAGTAGTCGTTGAATAATGTTATTGAAATACTCACCAAATAAATTTCTGTTTTAGATGGCCAAACTAGTGGAGTGCTTCTCCGACCATGTTTTCCTGGCTTCCAACCCAGAATACGTCGTATGGGGAGAACACACAGTTCTGACATCAGAGTTCTCCTGCATGGAAGATCTGGTCAAGAGAGGATATTGGAAGTACTACATCAACATAACAGGCGAAGAATTCCCATTGCTTTTAAACATGGAATTGGTCTACATTCTTAGCAAACTTCACGGATCCAACTTGATTTCATGTATCACTTTTACAAACAGTACTTGTCAGACGTACGCTGCGAGCTGATATGGCTCAGTAATGATCCCAAATAACGTTTATTGATCCAAGTGTTCCGCAGTCGTTTTTCTAGAGGGAGGGGAGAAACATAATTGAGGAAGGGGCAGAAGGTGGCCTCTCCCCCTTTCCGTTACCACTGTCACGCTACTTCCCGTTAGGATTGCTGCTAGTCGGATGAATTCGTTTCTCAAGTTGTAGCAGAGCAGTAGCTTAATTATCAAATTTCAGTATTTTTATAGTATATTTTTTAACGGAAATCGGAGCTCATCTATCATAAGAAATAATTAATAGAACAAACGTCAGAGAACCTTGAATGAGAGTGTCTTTACTGATTTATTGAACTTTTATAGTGAGTTTGACAATTCCTGAGCGACTGCCTCAGACCTTACCACTGAACTTGACTAAAGGTTGGTTAAAAATGAAGTAATCTCGAAGTTAAAACATTAAAAAGTGAAAGTGAATTCTCTCCGCCGGAGAGAATAAACGTATCATGGTCATAACTAAGTACCAATTATAATGACTAACAAATTATATAAAATATTTGAATAGGAGAGTGCAATCAAATCATTCCCCTTAATAGGAAAAAAAGTTAAACTAAACTAAAGGCAACTGGCCCTTTCCTCCCCAAAGGAAGTTGACGAAATTTTAATAATACCGCCAAACACTAAAGTAAAGAACTTTACTCCGTAGGATCAACTGTTTGGTATAAAGGCAGTTAAACTAAGCCATAATAAGCTTAATAAGCTTAAATCGGCGTGATAGAAATGATGAATCCGGCGGAATACGCTCCAAAAAATACGCTGACTAGTTAAAGATAATTAATCCTAAATGCAGTTGGTTTTGTTACTGTCTTTGAGTGATTCGAAACTTAAAGCAAAATGATTAGCACTAAGAGTAACACTGGGTACTAGATTGAAAAAAAAGTGAATTTAAATTTTTTCAGTTTTGAAATTTGTCGTCTTTGATGAATTTTTCTAATTCGGCATCAAAAAGTTCGCTATCGAAATCTACGAGCTCCTCAAATATTTTTACAGCCTATCTTAATGACTGGTCGATGGAAGATATAGAAAATGTGTCCGATGATGGTGTCTGATGAACTTGCTGTGATTTCCGCCGATTGAATAATGAAGATTGGAGTTTTCTTATCCGAAGGAGTTTGTGTAGAGGAGGTTGTGGTATAGCCAATTTGATCAATAACGTTGAGTGAGATTGGATTTGGTGCTGACCCAGGTTGGTTGTCTCTGTCGTCTATAATATATATGTGCAACCTTTTACCATAGAATTGAGGAGGTCCTACGTTACGGCTCGAACGTCTTAGTTTAAAATCAGTACCAGTGGTAATGATTTCCTCCGAACGTGGTCCCTGGGTAGCAGCATTGTCATGTGATGAATCAAAAATCTCATAGTTTAGGAAGTCGTCCGATTTGTCCCCCTTCACTTTCATCCATGGCTCCGTTGGAACATTTGAGGGTTAGGTCTGAAGGGGAGTGAGTAGTTTGTTGAGGTTGTGTTGAGCTCTGTCCTGCAGGGATTATACTGATCGGGCAATCCAACGGATCCGAAGTTGGAGTCAGGTTATCTAAAAGCTCAGATTTTATGTGATCCTGGGTTGCTTGGGGGTCTATAAGGTTCATGTTGGCTACAATTATCCGAAATAATGCGGTCTCTAATCTTGTCTCTGCAAGGGATACCGCCCGCGATCATTTCCCAATCGCTAATGTCTGACGTATCCGACGGAATTATCATAGATTCGTCACCTGCTAGGTAGCCCGCGTATGATGCAGTGTCTTTCTTTCGTGTTGGTCTGCTCCTGAATGGTTTGGAGGATGGGTTTGACACTCTCGTCCTAGTGTTGTCAGCTGACTTGTCTTCGGGCCTGTTTTTCTTGTCGGCAGAAGTTTTGGTATGGTCGTCTTCCTTGAGCATACTTCAAAATAAAAGTTAGGAAATGATGGAAAAACGATATTACCTCTAAAGTCAGATTTTCTGATTTTCGGATAATTTTTCCGTCGGATAATTCTGCCGTGGTTTTTGATGCGCTTATAACTTTCTGGTTAAGTTGTTTGTAGAAAGGGTTTCCATTTATGCTTCCTTTGGTTTTCCGTAGTGTTTCACCTTTAAAAGGACTTTGGGGAGGCAAGCGAGAAGAAGAGGGCTTCGAGGCTGATGGGTATTCCGACTCATAACCCTTTCTCCAATGGGGACTGGTTTTTTTTGGTATTAGGTTGTGTTCGTAGCCGTCTTCAATCCGATCATCTGCTTTCCAGCCTAGTGCCCGTTCCTTGCATAAGATTGATTTTCCTTTGTCTAAAAATCCATCGGATAACTTATTACAGGCCAATTGTTTCCAGATCGTATTAGGTTTCCTATTGAAGTGTATTTCGAATGGTGAGCATATGATTTTTTATTGAAAAGAAGAACGAAAATTCCAAATAATTTTTGAGATAGCGTGTAGTAGAGTAGGATTTTTTTGGTCGAGTAACATTGCTAATAAATCAATTTTTACAGCATGAACAAGTTTTTGTACAAGACCGTTAGAGCGATGTTCGCCGACTGTACAAAATATTAATTTAACATGATTGGTATCGCAAAATAATTTAAGATCCTCTAGTAAAACAGGAAGCGTGGTCAACGCACATAGAAACTGGACTGCCATGAAGGTAAAACAATCCCGGAGAAATTCAATCACTGTGTTTGAAGAGGTTGACGATGTTATTTTAGCCGATGGAATTTTCGAAAATCGCTTGATGCATAGTAGAAGGTATTTAATCTTTCCCCAAGTGAAATCCAATGGACCGGCAATATCGAGATTTAATTCCTCGTAAGGTTCGGATAATGGTGGCAGTTTGCTGATTTGAGTCTTAGGTATATTGCTTTTTATATTCTTACCGGTTTGAGTGCACTGGGAACAATTTATCCCGTGGAAAAAAATCTGGCGAGTTATGTGTGGTCACCATAAGTACTGTGCTAGGTACTTCATACCAAAATGTCCAGGATGGGATTAGTAAAAGGTTTTCAATACCGCGTTTTGTAGAGTAAAGAGGATAACAAGTTTTCCATCTGTGTAGAGCAGTCCGTCGGATTCATGCAGATCTTTTGTAAATTGGTTTAGGTAATAAGAGTTGGCGTTAATCTTTTCTATTTTATTTTGAAAGGCTTTAACGATCGGACTTAACACCGGGTCTTCTTCACTCAAAATGGCAACAATTTAGAGTTAAATAACGAATTTAGGTCCAAAGGTCGTTCCGACAACTTCAAATTCTCACGGTAATTTGTCACTAAATTTTCGCGTTTGGATAAAATTGGAAGTTCGACTTTGACCTGAATACCGGAAGTAGAAGGAATAATTACAATTTGGTTATTCAACATATTTACACTATTTACAATTTTAAGATCCTGTGAAATAAAAATTAAGCTACAATTAAGAATTAAAAAATAAAGAAAAGCTGAATTTGATTAAGAAATTTTTGTTGAATCAATGTTCAAGAAATCCAAAGGAATACAATTAGAATTACAAAATTTAGTTCTGTAGTGTTTTAGATTGCAATTTGGAACAGTTGAGTTGATGATTTTGAGAACTGAAATTATCACATAATTACGTAAATTTGCGTGATAGGAATTTCCCATGTTTGAACCAATACCACTTCATATCGATTTTCCGTTATCTGATGGATTCAAAGCCTTATTGTTTTTCTGGATAGTAGCAACTACAAATTCTTCGTCTTAATGAGATGGGGAAATTGCTTTTCCTGAAGGGGATCTTGAAGTTAGATCTGTAAAACCCATATCATTTTCTGCTAAGTGTTTTATTGTGAAGTTAAACGGTAAAAAACGATCAACCCATCTTGTTAAACGACTATTATAAGTTTTATTTCCTTGATTTGGTGAGAGTGCTGAAAAGAGGGCTTTATGGTTGGCAGTAATTTTTCAAATTCTGAGCCGTAAAGATACTTTTTATAATGTTCTACCGCCCAAACAACTCCCCGCAATTCCGATTTGTGGAATATTTGTGGAATATTTCCATTCATGTGGATTTAAAAATCTTGAGGCAAAAGTGACTGTTTTCCAGTCATTCCCATGGAGCTGTTTGAGGGAGGCACCAATTCCATTATGAGAGGCATCAGTTTTTACTCTCGTATTACGTTGGACGTCAAAGTGTGTGTTTTCGGTAAGGCTGTCTATTTCTAATTTGATTCTCTCGAATGCCTTTGTGTGATCTTCGTTCCCTGGAAAAATTAATTTTTTATTTAGTACAGGTCCTCAGGGACTTCCGAGGGATGCTAAGTTTGGCACAAATTTGATAGATTGGTTTGTTGACCCGAAGAATGATCCTAATTTCTTTAAGTTTTTTGGAATTGGGATATCTTTGATAGCCTTGGTTTTGTCAATTAAAGGGGCGATCCCTGTTTTAGATATTTTAAGGCCAGGCCACTGTATTTTTTTGAAAGAACTTACATTTTGGCCAATTGACTGCGAAATTTTATTATCTAATTTCGGTAAAACTTTATGAACAATGTTCTTGTGTTCAGTACAACTTCCTTCGGAAGCAACTAAAATATCGTCGAGGTAACAATTTGTAAAAGGAATATTTCTGATTGTTGAGTCCATGACTCTTGGAAATTCATTCGGTATATTGCCGAGTCCATAAAAACTAGTTAAAAATTGGTAAGTGCCAGTTGTGTCTCCGGATACCCAGCTTAAATTGCATTGACTGCTGGTGAAATTATCTGAAGAAAGTTGGCTGTATGTGTTCTTTAAGTCCAAATTGGTAAACCAAACTTCTCCGTCATAATCGTTTGAAATTCGAGAGTAAGTTTTTTTTGTAATTGAATTTTGAATCTAGAGCTAATTTGATCGACTTTTCCTTTTTGCGGGTTATAACTATTGGACTAATAAACCTATCCTCGTCGCAACTTTCCAATTTTTTGATGTCCTTCGGATTTAAGTCGGTTTAGTTCTGTCTTTACTGAATCAAGTAAATGGAGGGGAACACGTCTGCATTTTAGTTG